TCACTTGTTTTGCATCTTCTTCAAAAATGAATTCAGCTAATAGAAGGTGATATGAAGAATCTTCTACTGCTTTGGTAGAGAAGTCACTTTTTATTTTGGATCCATTTCCATCATTGCTCAATCATTAACAAGGCCACATGAATCTACCAATCTGTAAATGAAAAAACAAAATGACACATAACAATCTCAAGAGACAAAATCACTGTCATATACAGTTGCTGAAGTGAGATACGAATGGATAAGGGGGGTAGAGGGACAAGGCCARGCAGATTGAGGGGCTTACATGCAGCAAGATGCTGTGTACAGACTTTGCAACCTAGGTATGGGGAAAAGAGAATCCACGCAAGAGAGGTGGTGGTAACTGGAGACTGATTACATACTGGGAACTGATGAAAAACAGTATTAAGGAAAAATGGGAGCCATATTCCTTACTGTAGGAGAAAGGAGGCAACGATCATGAAAATTTGAACATGGAATCACAAAGAACAAAATAAGTAAATCCAAAAAATAACAAAGCAGTACTTAACTGACCTAAAGCATTCTTATCAATAAAATGGGGGGAAAAAAGCAATAAAGCAAATCTAAAGAGAGGAAAGGGGGGGAAAAAGGTAGCAAAAATGGAGACAATAATAAAGATAATTATTTCAAAATCAATAAAGATTATTTTAAAAAAGATAAACAGGGCTGGGAATAGTGGCGTACACTATTAATCCTAGAAGCTTGGGAGGCTGAGGCAGAAGGATCACAACAAGTTCAAAGCCAGCCTCAGCAAGTGCAAGGTGTTAAGCAACTCAGTGTCTCTACATAAAAATACAAAATAGGGCTGTGGGTGTAGCTCAGTGGTTGAATGCCCTGGAGTTCAATCCAAAACAAGATAAATAGAAGGTAAGCTGGTAAAATGCTTAAGGAAAAAAAAAAAAAAAAAGACAGCAAGAGGAGGAAATAAAACAACAGATTAAGAAATAGTGTAAGTGGCTGGGCGCAGCCTATAATCCTAGTGGCTTGGAAGGCTGAAGCTGGAGGATTGGGAGTTCAAAACCAGACTCAGCAATGGCAAGGTACTAAGCAACTTGGTGAGACCCTGTCTATAAATAAAAATACAAAAAAATAGGGCTGGGAATGTGGCTTAGTGGTCGAGAAACCCTGAGTTCAATCCCAGGTACCCCATCACACCAAAAAAGAAAAAAAATCATAAGCAAAGATTATGAATAATCAAAAATTAAACAAATTTGAAAATCTTAAATAAATCTCTATGAAATATCAAAAACTGGCCCAACAATATAAAACSTAATATCAAACCTGAATAAACCTTATATATTAAGGACACTTAAGAAAAACCCTCCTCCCCAAAGGGTTCCAAGGTGAAAAAGAGAAGCTGAATGTCTACCCTATGGTTTGCCAAGTGAGTGACTGAGTTGAGACAGGGAAGGTTTATACAGTAACCCACAATTGGAGTTCTGGGTTACCCTACAGAAATAACAGCTATTAATTCTTTAATATAGGTTCTGTGGTCCAGCCTACAGATTTTTATCAGAAYTTATTGTTAAAATGACCTCTGCATAAGATCAAATTTTAATATAAACAGATTTTTAAAGTCAATTCATAAAATATTCAGCAAAAAGTAAAACCAACAGGACTTGCTAACAGATGAGATATTGCTAACAGATTCTAGTTTTCAGCTTGTTCAACTAGGTTACAGTGCTCAGTGATAGGGAATAAACACAGACTAGTTACTGTTTCTTCAGTATATTCAGAGATGTTCTTATGAAGGTCTACACCTATTATTCCCAATAAGAAACGATAATACTGTCACCATAATTAATTATTTTGGAAAAATATCAATAAAATCAAGATTTCTAATGGGAAAGACATAATTAACTGTTACATACTTTTTGTCATTAAGAACTCTGGTTGAGCCAGGCGTGGTGGCACATGCCTATATTCCCAGCGGCTCAGGAGGCTGAGACAGGAGGATCTCAAGTTCAAAAGCAGCCTCAACAATTTAGTCTCCCGAGTAGCTGAGATTTAGAGTATGTGCAACCACACCTGATAATTAAAGTTCTTTTGGGGATGTGGTTATTTTTATACAGTGACTAAGTGAAGAGTTTGTTTATTTAAAAAAAATGGTGTCATTTTAAAAATATATTTGTTTACTTATTTATTTATTTTTATGTGGTGCTGGGGAACAAATCCAGCGCCTTCCGCATGCTAGGCAAGTGCTCTACCACTGAGCCACAACTCCAGCCCAAGTTTATGCTTATTACTGAAATTTTTTGAGTAAAAAAATTTAAAACTATCTTAGAACCTTAAAAAAAAAAAACACGAAAGACTAGACAGGAGGGGTGATCAAGATTCCTTTTTTTTTTTTTAAACATTTAAAAAATGATGTCAAGCATGTGCGCTGGAGCTCAAAGGAGAAGTCTGTTTTAAAGGTATAGTTTGGGGAATTTCCAGTATTTGGACGACAATAAGGCAGGAGAAGAGATGAGATCTGGGAAGACTATTAAAAGAAAAAATTATCAAGCCTGTTTCATTAATTTTCCATGTCTATTTATCACTTTCCTATTTCCAATGACACTCCAAAAAATTGACACTCTTAAAAAAAATCTAGTTCTTTAGGCACTAATAGTCTCTTCCACCATCTACCTCAGCATATCCCCATCAGCTGACATTCTGTTTCTAAATTCAGGATCAAATTACATCCTTACACTGCTCAGTAATGTCTGGTTTTCCACCAGCAATAAAATAAAATTTAACTTCCTCAACATGAGACAAGAAAT